GGCTTAGGTCTAAAGCTACCTAATCTTCTTCATAATCTGGGTGCCTTTTGATGTTCTCCTATCAAAAAAAAACAAGATGTGCCCTCTCCAGATGTTAGAAATATTTCATAGGTGTGGAGGAGGACAGCCTCTAGTAGGAAGAAAATAACACAGCAGACTTGAACGTTCTTCATACTTTGAGCTTTTAAACACATTACCAGGGATGTGGAGGCAAGTGTAGAAACTATGATCTATTAACCAATATATACTTAATATGTTATCCAGTAGATGCAATTAACCCCTTCATGACTGAGCTTTTTTTTACGTTTCTGTTTGTTAATGACTGACACACTTTTAGTAAGAAAGGGATATACTTTCTTACTAAATGCACCCACACATATTATATATTGTTTTTTAGAGGGCAGTTAGGGCTATATATTTACATCACATATGTGTGCCTAACGCCTCACTTAGGATGAATAAAATATGATTTTTTTTTGGGGGGGGGGACGTAAAGAAAACACTTTTCCCCCAGTTTTGATTATTATTTTTTTGGAAAAATAGCACAGCTAAAAAAAACCATTAAAATAAATTCATTTATTTGTCCTTTATTAAGAAACACCTCACATCCCTAGGGTTTCAGACATTTGTTTGTACTTCTTGGTCAAAAACTAACATTTAATTTTTTTTCTCTAAAACCTTAATAGTGGTCACCAGGCTAGATAAGTGGAATACACTGTCACTGTCACTAAGTGCCACTAACAGTCACACTTAGTGAGAGCAAAATACTTTGAACATAGAGGGGTTAAATAGAAAAAAATTAACCCCTTAGGGTGAAAAACAAATCTAATCACAATACAATTCAAGACAAGATGGTAAGGAGGGTCCTACCCCTGAGGGCTTACAATCTAAAAGTTTGATCATTTAATTTTTATTTATTTTTTATTATTATATGCTCAAAACGTAGGAAGAGTCAATAAGAACCTTAGTGACACTGATTCCTGACATGCTGATTCTGCAGCAGTTCAGAATTAGATGTCACTAAAGACTTCTGATCATTCCTAGATCAGAAGTCTGATATAATGTTTCAAAATTTTGCCACAAGTTCCTATGCTTCATCGAAACTTGTAGCAAAAAAAAAAGCCAGTACACAGGCTCTGTACAGAGCTGTCAAAACAGATCACAATCTGTACAGAACTGTCAAAACTGATAGCAGAGTGGTTCACACCACTCTATTATCATTATCAGATACTCGATCGCTGACAGCGATCAGGTATATGTAAAAGCTTAATTCTTTCATTAATGGATACCTCAATACTGAGGCATTCATTAATGAATGGTAACCACTGATTCTCAGTGGTTACCGGCTTTTGACAGCTCCAAATAGCTGATCATATACAGTGTACTTGATCAGTAATTTGGGCACTTCATGATGTGGATGTACAGTGTACGTATCCAGTCATGAAGGGGTTAAAGAGAAAAAGAGAAACATAGAGAAAAATGTTAAAATAATAAATCCTTCCACCCCTTGAGTGCAGACAGCCTGGGCTTATACCTACCTTCAGCTCTGGTCTAGTGATCTTACCACTGACTTATCTTATTACCAACTCAGACTGCTACTTTTCATTCTGCACATGTGCACTGCAGCCGTATGCATTTCTGTGGGTAGCCTAACTCATGGGAGCTTCCAATGGAAGACTTGGTGAACAGCTCTCCCATAGGAATGAATAAGTATAAGCCCAGGCTGCCCACACCTGGGAGTAGGGGCTTTATTAAAGGATAACATCACCAAAGTGCAGTGTTTTCTGACTAATAAATGAATAAATAAACACGTGATTAAAAAGTTAATTGGGCTTTTACACATGTTAACCTTGTCAATTGGTCATGTTTATTTACAATGTGCCACTTGATTGAAGTGTTTATTTGTTTGAGAAAATCCTAGTTTTGTGAAACTCCATTTTA